AATTTCAAAAGAACTTCAAGTGTAGTTTTTATTATTGTTATATAAGCAAATGTTTCTGATAAATGTGTCCAGTCAAAAGACATTTGTCAATTTCTGCTTGAATTTTGGATACGTAGACATCAAAAAATTTCTGGAGAAAGGTTAAAAGTGAGTAAAAGACTGTATTTTATGGAAATATACATGTTTTATTTGTATAGGATTATATATGTATTTCCTCCCTTTTTTTCTCTCCTCCTCTTCCCCCTCTCCTTTTTTCTCTCTCCTCCTCTTCCCCCTCTCCTTTTCCCTTCTTCCCCTCACCCTAGCAGTCCCTTTTGCCCCATCTTGGGCCTGGATCGGTCACATATGGCCGATACCCGATCTGTCTAATTAGGTATCGATCGGTGTTGATACCGATCCCGAATATCGGATCGGTGTGCCTCTATTTATCATGCTGAGTAAATAAGAGCTTCCTGTTATTCACTTGGGGGTTTGTCTTGAATCCTGGTAATTGAACTGAAAAACGGAAAAATCTGATTAAATGTGTAATTGTGTTACATAATGAGTAACGTGTGCTGAATGCTTTCCAGTATTTGCATCTTTGTTTAGTTTAAAAAAAGTCAATTTAATTGCCTTAATTAGTTTAGCCAGAGTTTGGGTTGAGGTCAGCATGTCCCTAAATAGCGGTTCTTAAGAAAATGACTAATGGATAAACATGGCATGTGGGGCCGCAGACGGCCGACTGCTGGAGGCGCTGTGGTCTATCTCAACTCGACCGCTGTGGAATCACTGGAGGTGCGGAAAGGCTGTCGAGCAGAACAGCTGGCGGGCAGCCGCTGAGATCCACAGAGCCCTTCTTATCACCCCGTGGGTTTAAGGTCATTGCGGGTGGGGCAGCTGATTACTGTGGCCAGAGTGTCTTTTCACGACTTCTGAGTGGAGCAAGGGCTGGAGAACCCTTGAATGTTGGTGAGGGTTGTGATTATGGTTAGGGTGGCCACCCGTCCCTTAAAATACGTGATGTCCCGCATTGGAAAATAAACTGCTGCTTCCCGTATTTGGCTATACGGCGGGTGGGTTCCCAAGATATGGTTAGGGTTATAGTTAGTGCTGGTGACAAACTGGATCTCCAATGCTATCAATGGATAGGAAGGCAGGGGTGAGCCGATCTTGAGGGCATTACACCATTATATAACAAGCTCACACAGCACCCTCTGCATTCCATGGTGACCCCGAGCAGGACCAGTAACTACAAGTATTTACAGTAAAGCCTGAAAGAGGCTGTAAAATGCACACGTGATAGCCAGCTATTAGGGATATTACGGCATGACGTGGCCCTTACTCTGAAGTCCGAGTAAGTCGTGTGACGTGAACCCTGTACTGTACACGCACACCTGATGAATAAAACGCCTTCGTTTGGCGTTGGCTGTTTTTTGATTTCTTCATGATGAATCGAATATTTCATAAAAACACAAAAACACACACGTAAATCATATTCTCCTGTAAAAATTGAGAATAGATCCTCATTATACTAAAGACATTTAAATTACACTTCAGTTAAGGACATACTGAGTGTGTGACTTACTGTAGTAGAGATTAATAAGATATGAAGAGGCTTTAAGTTGTTAGAAAAGTGCTATGCACTTTTACCCTGAGTTCAGCCCCCCTCCCCCCATGCAGCGTTCTGACACAGTAATATGCACACTCAATGAAGCATGTTAATCACAGCAACTACGGATAATGACTGGCATATGCTAATGTATTTTTACCTGTGTGTATGCGTGTTTACTTCCAGCTACATTGTCACTTATTATTGCATATATTATACATCCCTTGTTATGTAACTAACATTCTGAGCCAATTAAAAGTGAATAATTACACCTTGTTATAATTATTATGTCAGCAGTGAATGTCTTCCAGCATAACCTCGGGGACATTTATGATGACGAGTCTCGAGCTGTAGAGAGTGAGAGTGGGTTTGAGATCCACTCACACTCATGGATGGGGGGACAGAGAAAAGCCTAATGTGGGGATGGGGGTGGGGGCCAGAGAGGGGGCTTTAACCTCTGGAGGTCTGCTCTTATTTTTAAATGAAAAAGGCCCTTTTGGAATTCCATGGGTCGCATTATCGTAAAAAAGTTTCTTCTTTTCTTGAAAACAAGTTTTTCGATTTATGTGCATGAACAGAATTAGAACGCAGAAAAGCCCTTATTTGAATTAATCAAAAACTGTGCTTTTTATTAATTTGAATGTCCCTTCCTATGTAGCATGATCATATCTAAAATAATGCTTCCAGGCTCAATTTTGCAAAGTAAACACTCGTCGGTCAAAGTTTCAATTGCTTTGAAGTAGAAATTAATGGATATTTCTGCACGTGATTCTCTGCCTTCCTCTTCCCAAGGAAAATGTGAATAATTTACTGTGGTTGGTGTTAAAGTAAATCAGACTTCAAAGGCTGGGCATCGGTTCCTGTGGAGCGGTTGGTGAGGGTTTGTGGCCGTTGCCTCCCAAGCCCCTGCAGCTCCACATTTACACCTCATCCAGCAGACTTCCATGTTGTCGAAAACGATTTAAAAACCCTGCCAATGAAAGCAAGCGGCCTCTGTCCAGAGCTCTCAGGAAGTGACATGTTTATTCTGCTCCGAGTAACACATCCCTGACCCGGCAGATTTCCGCTTTGTTTGCTGTGTTTGGTAGTTGCAGGACAACCGCTTCCCCAACCTGTCATTTCCGTTGGATGTCCGTCAGCATTGCTTGTTCCCTTCGTATTCCTTTCCAGGCAGACCCTCTGGATATTCATGGCAAAATTGGCATATACAGCGCATTGATTATCTATGGGACTCATCCATTTTCAGCGCAGAAAATCCAGTTCTGGGCAAAGGAATTTTATGTTTGCTTGGCAGATGTGGCTAGTGTGGATTTCCCATAGTAACCACTGTGTTTGTATTAGTGAAATTTTAATTTATTTTTCGTTCCTTTTTCTTTTTTTATGGGGAGACAGGAGAGAAAATGTGGATAAACACACTGCAAGTGTGAAGCTGAGGAAAAGCATATTTATTTAATGTATAGGGGGGGAAAGTTAATTACAAAACCAGGATTTCACTTCATGATCAGCGGGGTCAGGTTGCTGGACTGACACTGTTAGGGAGCTCCTGTATAAATTAAACTGAAACTTTAATTAACTGGGAATAAGCTTTAATTAAAACTGCAATAGGCTGAATGCTGCTCCCTTCATTATCACCATTCCAAACCTTAGTTTGATATTTTGCTAACGAGGAGGAGGCCAACGTCCTACTTATTTTCAATCTGTCTCCCTTTTTCAAAGGAATTAATTACTTTTCATTCACAGACCAAAAAAGTCCAGCGGACAGTTCAGGAAATGTTGTCTGAAAGTCAAAGTAACTTTATTGCCGGCTTCACTGGGGTGACATTTTGTTCACATCGACCACAGTGCAAATGAAAAGTAATAAACCGAATATAGATACTGAGACCTAAGCATGACATAAAGACAACACTTAACTGAACAATGGTGGGAAAAGATGTGCAACTTTGGCACTGAACTGGACGAGCAGAATTATGCAATTTCAAGGCTAAACTAATTAATGCATTGCAAGTTCTGAGTCCAGAGTTAGTAGAATCAGAATCAGAATTTTAAAAAAAAACTTTATTGATCCTGGATGGAAGTTGCTTCCGCTACAATAAGAATCAGAATCAGAATTGAGTTTATTCACCAAGTACGTTCACACAAACAAGGAATTTGCTTTGGTGGTTGGTGCCAGACTTCGAGAGATGAGGTGTTAATATATAAATATATATACATAGAGTATGTACAGGTACTAATATAAATAGTCCGTGAATGTGGAATATGATACAGCAGTGGAAATATATAAATATTTAAGAGAGTGCATGCTTGTGCTAGGATGGGGAACACAGCAGATAGACAGAGACACCATTGGACACAAGAAACACGACATAACAAAATGAAAAAAGTAATACGTCACAAACAAAACTTAAATAAAATGAAACAGTATAAAAGATAGATGTCAAATAAACTATAATATAAACTCTTTAGGAGATGTGTTTGATAAGGTGCATTTGTGTTCAGAGTAGTCACTCACGCAACCAGTATTTTACATGATAATATTGCACATAGTGTCAAGGTATTCGCCATTCAGAGAGGTTATTGCATAAGTTGGCAGCAGCAGACCCGTTATTACACAACCTAGTAATGGAGGGGGACAGTCCTTTTAACAGGACCAGTATTCGATTGGGAGGGGCCAGACTGACAGCATTGAAAAAGACTGAGGATAAAAGCTGCTAATTAGCCTGAATATGAGGCTGCAGAACCCAGAGGTGGAAAGTTTAGTTTCAGGTCAAAATATTGTTTCAACCAATCAGTTGAGTACTGATTGGTGTGACTCCTTATACTCACATAGCTGGTTGATCATGGTCTGGATTTGTACTTTCTGAACCTGAACTTTTCACTCTGGCAGAACCTCATAGCAGATGGCAGCAGAGCAGAGATATTGTGAGTGGGGAAAGACAACAGATATGTGTTATCTTCCAGGAAGGTAATGATTGTGAGTGAGCGTTGGATCCAGTGAAAGTCCCATAACGGGTGCATGGTGATGTGTGACAAGGTGGGACACCTCTTTCGCTCTTAGTGCTCATTTCTCTGGGTGTTACAAATGTTCTGGATCTTTCTGGGAGGGGTTTCTGGGAGCTGACTGAGCAGGGTACCCTCTGTAGCTGTGCCCCACCCTTTGAAATCCAGAAAGCATGATGTTTACGCTAAATCCCCGCGGGTCAGCCATGGGCGGGAGAATTAGATATTGGGTAGCTGTTCAATTCATTAAAACGGCAAACTGAATTTATGCTAAAAATAAAATTAATCTATATGGTAAATATTGGGCTAAATTGATTTACAGAGTGTATAACTATAATGTGAAATCTGGAAAATTTATCTAAACACATAATTACCATAGATCTGTGTGGTGATAATAATAAAAATAATAATAATATGCAAACGCCTATTAAAATTAATTAAATTGCTGAGATTTAACTTGAGTCAATAATGAAATAACCCTTGATTGAGCCTGGGTGAAATTCACATAAGCTGAAGGAAAATAAATTTCATAACAGTGACCGATTACAAGATGAAACGCACTGCAGGACTCATTCATCTTCGTGTTCCTACAGGACAGGCAGGACCTCCATTTAAAATAGAACCCATAAAGATGGGTATTATGATGACATCAGTAACAAACGGAATATGGAGGTGGGGTCTATCAAGAACTCAGACCCCAAATCAAGATTAAATATGTCAATTTACCCTCAAAATGTGGTTCCTCGGCTCCAAACTTTTCATTATAATGGAGTTTCAGATTGATGACATGAAAATGTGAGTCGATTTTTAATTCAGGTAGTTATTACATGTAGGCTGTAAAGTAATATGTGCTATTTCCTCTGTTCACCCCTTTTTTTAATAAGCAGTTAAATTATTAAGGTCATGGTGACCCCTGGTTTGTCCTGTGAAGGCACTGTGTGTATGGGCTGATGTACTGTATATGAGCTGTGTGTATGGTGCTGTCAGATTCCCGTAACCTCCCCCCCCCCCAGTGACACATAGAAATATGCAACGAGCATTTAACGAAGGCTGATTTACTGTATATCCTCAATTGACATAAATGAAATGAGTTTTTTTAATTATAAAACCCAAATGCACGACGTTATCGTAGAGGGTTGGGCATTTTAAAGACTTTGGCACGTTTCCCAAAGAGTCCACTCTTAGGCCAACCCGCGCGATAAAGAGGCGTGCTGCTGTTCGAGTTTCCGTCGGCGCAAAAAAAGGGACTCGGGCCGCCTCCTTTAATCCGGAGGAGCCGACCTGACACACTGTGTCCAGCCGCGGAGCGTCGCCGTTTTCACGCCCTCGATGAAGATTTCCTGAATCGCAGAGAGGTTCAGTGGTACCTAGGACTGCGCCCTGGCCGGAGGCCGAGCCGGAGGATTGCGGTGCTCGGCAGACCGCGCCGGGATCGCTCTTTGGTAGGATCAAGCCCGCACAGCTTGTGCACGTAAAAGTACAGACAGTGCGAGACACTTTATCTTAGGGATGTCAGTTCAGCTTTCGGTTTGACATCCTGATTATATCTAAACCGCCTTTACATGGACGCGGTATCTCACATTTCCAGTTTACGACAGGCAGCGATTTAAACGTGATCTTTCATTATCTCTCCAGGAACCATCCTAAGTGTAGAGCTGCCGTGCACCGTCCGTCCAGTCCTGCCCAGCCCAGCTCAGCCCAGCCGCATAACTCACGCCTCCTCCCGGCGCGACGCTGCATCAGCTGCCCGGCGGCCGATGGATACTGCGGAGCAGCTAGGTGCGCCCTCTGCCGACGCTGACGCGGCCAGGGGGCCGGTCCTATGCTTAAAGGAACCGAATCCTCCGCGACAGAAATACCCGGGGCGGTGGCAGATGCCTCCCGGCAGTTTTGATTTGGTTTATGTATTTACTGAATTCCTCTCCTTGAGTATGAAAGCTACATTGATTTATGAGAGTCAGCTGTGTGTTTCACAAAACCTCATTGTTATGCTATTGGATCGTGCAGTTAAAATACTAGATTGGCTAGATGCATTTAATTCCAGGCACATGCGGTTTTGTTAACTGCATTCCTAAAAGAGGGTGAGCAGTACAGACAGGGACAGTATCCACCCCCCCGTGTCCCCCACCATCTGCACCCCTGGACAGGAAAATAAGTGAGTACAGTGTCTAAAAATGAGTTCATGTGAGGGGAGAGGAAGTCAGTGAAACCACGAGGATCACTAGTCTTGTGGATAGATATTTTGTGTTTTAACTATTCTGTCTTGGAAGACAGTGGATACTAACAGTTCTTAAAGAGCAGCACTGTGACATTCCTTGGGGCATGGGTACGTATGACACTGTGTCCCTATAGACATGGAGGTGATGACTCCACTCATCGAAGACTTGGGGCTGCATTCTGAGGAGAATTCGGATGAGGACTGTGACCCTGAATTAGCTCCGGTGCAGAGGAATTACGACCTGAGCACCCGTCAGGGCATTACGTGAGTATCCACGCTGACCTCCGGATTCCGGATATCTGTAAAGAGGATTTTCAGCTTTGATCGTTTGTTGACTCTGTAAATAACCCTCACGCCACATACACCATGATATAGTCAGCCCTGTTCTTTCATTAAATATTTATCATTTCTTGGGACAATTTCATATAAACAAATTTGTCAGGTACGCTTAGTGGCTAGTTTATTAGGGCCAAGTAGGTAGTACTGGCTAGAACCTGTTTTATACCTACAGTAGCTAGCACCGGATAGGATGCACTTTATTAGGGACTGCATGCTAGTACCAGGTAGGACCTGCTTTATTCAGGACTCCTGGGTGGTATTGGGTAGGAACCACATTATTATGGATAACTAGGTACTACCGGGTAGGACCCACTTTATTCGGGACTCCATGGTAGTAACAGGTAGGACCTGCTTTACTCGGGACTACTAGATAGTACCGGATAGGAGCCGCATTGTCATGGACAACTAGCTAGGACCAGGTAGGACCTGCTGTATTAGGCATAACTAGCCAGTACAGGGTAGGACCTGCTTTGGCAATCACCTGACTTGTGCATTCAGAGAAGCCTTCTGAACACCACTGCTACACTGAGCAGTTATTTTTGCACTTCCTTTTAACTTAACAAGTCTGCCCATTCTCTTCTGCCGGCTCTCATTAGCAAGGAGTTTTCACCCACAGAGCTGATGCTGACTAGATGTTTTTGTTTATCACCCCATTACCTGTAAACCTTGGGCTGTGTAGTGTGTGAGAATCCCTGGAGGGCGGCTGTTTCCTAGATGCTTTCTAATGTTTAGTTGAACAGTAAGTGAATCTCCTTACCCTGACTGTGTTGTTTGCAGTTTTATTAACATGATGGATCAGGCTGTTTGCATTAGCATGTAGGCTTGATATATTTGTGAGGTTTTTGCTGGTATTTCTCTCCATACATGTCTGGTAAATTCTCAGAGTGAAGTTATGTATGATCAAATTGGTGCTTTAGATGTAATCTAAACTCTGAAAGTGAGAAGGTAAACAGTGTGTCCTGACTCTAGGGGTGAGATGGTAAACAGTGTATCCTGACTCTG